TAGACTGACTAATGCTATTACTAGCGATCTTTTGGTATGTTTCCAACATATTCAAGGCATAAATTCACATGTTCTATAAAATCCATGTCCATTGCTTCCCAATTGGCAATGTATTGTGTCATGATTGGTAGGAATCTCTTATTCACACCATCGTATCTTACTGCCTGTTTCTCCAGATTAGTTTATTTGTGAACCCTTTTAAAATGGCCGTCATCTCAACTCTCGCTAAAGATGAATTCTTCATTTTTCATTTCATTCCATGCAACCGAAAGTACTTCCGAACAGGATGGAATGGTGTGTTTCTTTGCACTGAATTCATCGCTTACAACATAGGCCCTCCTCCTTTCCGCATTTACTCAAAGTTGTATGCTTGTTGCTGATGTCGCTAGGGCACATTTTGTCTCATCCGACCGTATTCCTGCATTGGGAAAATCGTGATCAGACGCTAGTTTTTTCTACTTCTTCTAAACATGAACTGCAGTTTGGAAAGAGGACAGACTGGTTGCATATTTCCTCTCTTTTTTAGCAGAAACCGAGGCGAGTTCTGCGAAGCCAAGCCATGGACAGGAGGAGCTGTCAACCAAAGTGAGGCCTTCCGATGCCAGTTTCCAACCGGAGGAGAGGAGCGCCAGAGACTCGATTGGGAGCAGCGAAAATGTTGCGACCAACTCAGCAAAAACCTCCTCCGAGCTCCCCGGTCGACGATGAGGCCCTCGATTATTCCGGAGCAACGGTGATTCTGTTGTGCTTCCTTGGCCGTAATCAAGGCTGAATGAAGTCACTTTGCCCATCGGATTCTCCCCAAGCACAGACACTAACCAACTTTGGACACATTCTTGTCGTCGTATTTCGTCAAACTCATGTGAAGGACCCATTTACAGTTTTAGCCAAGAGACTAAAGTAGGAGCGAAAGTCGACTTTTCACATAATACAATCATGCCAATGTATTGACACGGCCATGCCTCCTCAGCTTTCACTTAGTTTTGATCCCACCAGCACACGTTAAAAGATTTCATATCAAGTCGAATGGGTAATAGAACAAGTCTCTGTTTAATTGTATAATTTTATATATTTTTGATATTTTAACTCGTTTAAAAAAATATTAACTTATGACGCTACTAGCAACCGAGTAAGTAGACTGAATACTATCTGCTAATTTTAAATAGGAACGTTTATTTACACACAATAATGAAGGACTATTCGTTGAATTTGTCAACATTTAAATAAGTATATCTCATTATGCGAACTAGATAACTAGGGGCAGTCTTGGAATCTATTCATTACGTAAATGTCACTGACAACTTATAGTTAGCATAGCAGTCTACAAAGATTATCCGTAGTTATTCATTAGAAGCCAATTTGAATATAATAAAACCTAAGATATCTAAAGATTGCATTCAAAATATACTAATATTTTCGAATAATACTCATAACGTATTTATCATTTGTGAGTAGGGTGTCGAAAATACCAATAAATTAGATATATAAGATGTATTCATTCTGTTTTTTAAGGTAATGGAGAACTTCTAATTGAATTTTTGTGCAATATGACGTGAGTAGACCTTGCGTTCCATTGATTTCTGTGATGGGATTGTAGATTACTATAGTAATCAACTGCCATACTTATTTTTAGTTGGTTATTACGGATTCACGACTATTAGTAAATCAGATATATGAGATGTGTTTGTCCTATTAAAATGCAAAAAATTTAATGTAATTGACTACTATAATAAGTACAACTTTGCCTCATCAACAATCCTACTCCAGAATGTGTTATGAGAAAATAGCTGGTTATTCTCAAAATTCACATCTGCCTCGTGACCCAAAAGTACTCTTGGAAAGTTGGTGTAAAGTATAACGTGTCAAGATCATACGCTGCACTACCACAATTCGGGTTTGCGCATCGCTGGAGGTGCTGTGGAGACCAGCTCAGACGAGGTTAAAACTGCAGTCAACTTCTGCTTGGATGAGAATACTTTTTGGGAAGCAAGGATATGTGGAATTTAATAGAAACGTAAGGTTTACTCATATGATTGGGGGAAAATTCAACTACCAAACCTTCATCGCCTTACACGAAATAGGTTGAACACAACTCATCCTTATTACTTATTTAGTAACGTTGTATATTGTACCGGTAAATAGAACGGATATGTAGTGAGCAATTTCGAGACTATCAGTAGTTGTTAGGTAAGAGAATTAATTCTCATAAATCGCATCTTGGAGATTATTCACGTCATCGGGGTTAATTCGACCAAGGCAAATAATGCTTTTGCTTAGGATCCACACTACTCGTCAAGAAGCTAGTAGTGTCGTCGAAAACAATGACTGAAACGCGTTTTGCCTATACTTGTTTTTATCAAATAATGTATGGTTGATAGTTAAATTTTTCTACAATTAGCTTATCAACCGTGTAATATGAACTAGAATAAATAAAGCTCTTATTCAAGACCTAGAGATGATACAGAATCTTTTTAATGGCATTCCTGAATAAGATAATTACAAATAACAAATTAATTCACCCACATCAGTCCGTAATGAAAAGGTGCATTAAGGGAAGCCTGGCTTTCCTGGAAATTCTCATCTGCCCCATACACTTGGCTGCTGACGAGACTGATGATTATGATACTGCTACTGTTGATGATGACACTTCAGGTCGTAAGGGTTGTTGACTAAGCTGTTGGTAAATCCAACTATTACACCACAATTATCAATTGCCAATTAATGTGACTAAAGTCCTTGGTCAAGTTCAATCGACAGTACGCATTAGCGAGGGTAAAGTGTGATTCACACAATCGGCAAAGTGTGAATTTGGCCCAAAAGGATGACGATGAGTCGAAGATCGAGCCGGGAACAGATGTAGATGTAGCTCCGAGCCGTCTTGAATGCGAGTTAAAATCCGTCGGTATGACCGAACTCGACGGCATAGAGTTGTTCACCTACTTGCAAATAACCATTTTTCAATACCTCGGATCGAGTACTCGCCAGATTCGCTGACTTGATGGCAAAAATTCGGTGGAAGCCAGTGACATGACCTCACAAATCATTTGGAGCGACAAAATAAGGCAACGATACTAATTCGGTGATATTTACAGATTCGTCGTTTATTCAGTCCATGGAAAAAAATGAGTTTCATGCTATTCTCAACTAGAGCTGAGGAAATGGTAATTCGATGCATTATGAAAGGTATTTAGGATCAAAAGGGTTGGGGCTGCTTTTGGGTTGCCGCGTCTTCTTGCAGTACCACTGGAAACCAGCTCATGCCAGCTTCGTGAGTGAGTGGCCCTCCCGAAATAGGTCGTAGGCCCAGATACGTTCGGAGGCGCGAGTATCATTCGAAGCACTAAAATGAAGTGCAGGAAAAGACAATAATTTTGGGGCTAAGTTTTGATGATTCTGGACAAAAGATAAAATTTCCCGTAATCACGCAGACTCATGACAGGTGATTTGGTATCCTAAATTGCCCACATACAAACACACACACAATCTGACATTGAATGACTTGGATTAACATCAAAAGGATTGAAAAGGGCCCTATATACAGATAAATGAATAGAGAAATAAGTATATTTATAGATATATTTTATTCTATTTTACTTATGAGGCCACATAACATGTCAGGGAGAGCCAGTTAGACTTGTTAACTTGTCGAATAGAAACATTTGTAGCAAGGGATTTCATATAAAACGAGCAAAAGAGACGAGGGTATCTGCCTCGTCTACTCGGCCATTACTAGGACATTACAAAAGTGATTTGGTATTTACCCGTTTCAGTCCATAGATGGTGAGCTCGAAGAAGAGCAATAAAAAGGAGGCTATCACTCCGACGGTGGTGATGATGAACAAACCAAAGAGATCCACGAATAGGAGGGAGTATTTCGAGTGGCTGCCGAGCCGTTTTGACAGATTTCTAATCAGCACGTCATAGGCCAGATCGGAGGAACAGACGTTGGAGTTCTCTGTCTCAAAAACGTATCTGAAGGTGGAAAAATGATAAAGTGCTTTTAAACAAAATAGCCATATTGTTTAAGTCTATTTTTACAATGCAATTATTCGAATCAAGTAAAAAATTATATCGAGCAAGAAGAGACAATTGTTTTTGCTCTAAAATGCATCCAAGTAAGGGAATCGGTTGTTAAAAATGCTTCTCATAGAAAGAAGCCGACTGAAGGCAGCGAGGCTAAGGAAGTAAAAAGAGTGTGCTGAATCAGATCGGTTCAGAAACATAAGAATTTGCATGCAGGCCAGGGTCAGGGTATTATGTGAGAAGAAAAGACTATCGAAGGTATAAAGACCAAGATGGTGTGGCCTTTTGTGTGTTTCCATCCTTTTTCTATCCA